AGAAGAAGTTGAGATATCTGGAGAAACAGTAAAAAAGAGAATCTTAAGTCAGGTAATGCTAGCGGCCTAGAAGGAACATACTCCGTGTTGATGTAATGATTTCGCGTTAACTTTTTTGTGGGTCAAATTCGACCCTGTATAATAGAGGCATGCATTCTGCGTTCCATATATCGTTGAAGGCATAGAAGCGCAGCGCGCGCCTCCTAGGAATACCTAGCGAAAACGGTAGAATAGTACTGACAGTACCATCGATACGATAGATTTGGTCTGGTGCGAACCCATACTCCATCCGGCGGTTCCTTTCGCAAAAGATTCTCGCGACCGTTGAGTTTTTCGTCCGTTTTTCGCCGTTTAGCAATTGATCGTGTGTTTAAGCCTTCAAGGGGCGCCCCAAAGTTACAAGACCACAGAAGCCAAATTGGATAAGCGATAAACAACCTTTTTGCATGACCTCACTTAATTTCTTATTTTTTTTCGTGTAATAAGGACGCAATATTCGCTATACAGTCCACTAATAATTAGACCGTTTTAATTGCATATACTCCCTCCGAAATGGGGAACTGAGAAGTTCTTCAGGGGTCTCACATGTATTATCGATAAATGCCTAAATGGACATCCTGTTCCATAAGACTGGAAATCGAATATTATCCATTCACTAAAAAGGAAGCTGGACTGCAATAACTATTAGGGCATATCAGTCATAGGCGGACTATTCGGTAGAATGTTGTCTGATCTTATTAAAGAAGATTACCTATAAAGAGAAAGAAGAAGAAGAGTACTGCGGCTTTAGAGCAGGAAGATCATGTACAGAGAACGTACTTTGACTAAAACAAGTCATAGAAAATAGATCTGTTAGACATTTGGAAATTCTCACATTTGTAGAAAAAAAGCATTCGATACAGTCCCAGTATCCAGACTATGGAAGGTGTTAGAGCAATCCAACATCAATCACACCTATATACCTGCCCTTGAAGAACTATGTATAAAGACTCAAAATCAAGAATTAAAATAGCTAAAACTCACAGGCACATTCATAGTGAATAAAGAACTACGTCAAGGATGTTGTATCTCTCCTACGCTTGTCAAAATATACATAGCAATAGCACTAAAAAATTGGAAGAGAAAGATCTATGGAATGGGTATAGAGATAAATGCCTGTTCACTCTTGCAGATGATCATGTCATAGTGGCCAGTGACAAAGAGGACATGCAATATATGATTAGCAAGCTGATAGAAGAGTACCAAGAATGGGACCTGAGAGTTAATATAAATAAAACAAAATATCTATGTGTAGGCACCCAGAACGGAAACTTGGAAGTGGACAATTGGGCAGGAAATTCTGCAATGTCAAGAATATGAGTATCTAGATATACCATTCGATAACACCGGAACAGATGTGAAAAAAATAGAAAAGCTAGAAGTGATAGGATGCCTTAATGGAATCTTATGAAACAAGGAAATAACAGAGAAAATATACGAGACAATGACAAAGAGCAGTCTTCTATTTGCAGCCGAGACTTGGAGAATTATAGACAGACAAAAGTAGAAGCAGTTGAAATGGATGCTATTAGAAGATCCATGCGAATTTCACTAGAAAAGAGAACAAGGAACGACCATATAAAACAAGAAAAATGTGAATAGAAGGCACGATAGGAAACAACTTTTCTGGTACGGACTCGTAGAACGAATACCAAATACCAGGTGGCCAAAAAAAATGCTGCATTGGCAACCAACAGGTAGAAGAAAACGAGGAAAACTGGAATGGCAGAAGACCATACACATACAAAAGTTTATGAGTGAAAGAAAACTTCCATTAGAGGATTGTGACGATGGAAGAGGATGGAAATTAGGTGCCGGACAACGAAGTAAGATATATATGAAATTTGGCTTCACAGCAGGTCATTGACGCTCAAAATAGTTCAATACGTCATCAATTAGGTTTAATTATTGAAAGAAGACAAATAGAGAAGTCGTGCTGAATGTCGTAACAGCTTTTGATTGAGTTTAACAAAATCATTTCAAGCCAAAACTTGCAAACTGCATAGTCCAAAATGCGTACAATGAATTCGAGAGGAACTTCATATGGTTTGATATGGAAATTTTGCAACAAATGGAAGATCAAAATCAACTGCTGACGTGAAGATTCAATATGAAAAGGGATTCAATTCGTCGATGCACCATGAAATTTGAATATTTGAAAGATTTACCACATCGTAGGCACTTCTGAAAACAAGCAATATTATATTTAAATTTATGGGCATCTGCGTAACAGGAAAAACTTATTTTTACTTTCTTATTTCTACGCGTGTCGACAGTTCGGCAAACTCAACGTCACAAAAACCATCATATTTATATCAGTAAGATGCGATTTTATATGAAATTTATAAGCGACGTGTGACGTAGAAAGAACGTCTAGCCATTGAACTTTTTTAATTTTTTCATCATCGAACCTTATCACAACCTAAAAATAAAATTATTACCGAGTTGGAATAACCCACACCTCGCACAATTAACTTTAATGCAAGTTTCTACTAACATGTATAGCTTGTAATGCAAACCGTTTCTATTTTGGAATTTGGATGTGGGTCAAACAATAGGTCAGATGAAGAGCCTTTGTTCATTGGATTTTGAATCGTAGTAATTTCTAGAAAAATAATACTTTTTTATAACTTAGAAAACAGTCCAGAAAAAATACTACCCAAATTATAAAGGAAAATATGTTCCAAATGTATCAGAAATCGAAATTTGAAATGGGAATCAATTGAATGGTAGTAAATGTATATCAAAGAAATTTGTAAAAGAGTGCAATTTGCTCTTGAGTGTTGGAGGGTTGATACTACAGGCAAAAATCCTAAGAAGAAAAGTTATAGTTTAGTAGGTAGTAGGTACTTTTGAAATCTACCTTCACCATTCGGTCAAAAAATATTAAAGAGAAATAGTTTCTAATGGGATTTTTTTATTAGATTTTGGCAAAACAAAATACACTATAATTGATTTTAAATATATTAATTTTAACCCAAACACCACTTATAACAATGTAATCAGTAAAATATCTTCAAGTAGGTATTTTACATTAAACGGGTAATCAAATCGTAAACTTTATTACTATTTAGATTATTTTTGCCAGTTACAAACTAAAAAAAATTAAGTTGTTTACGCTAAGTAGCATACCGACGCCAAAAATATAAGTCTAGTAATTTTTTACACTAAAAACAATGTTCGCTAACATTCGCAGTTAATTACTAAAAATCCTAATGACTTACCAATAGCCAAAAAAATTCGATATCGTAGAGCAATCAGTCTCCTCCAAACTATTCAAATTTTGCAATTCTGTTGTTCTCGAATCAGTGTCCATATCACTATTACTATTATTAGGACTGAAAGAATCCCTAGGACTAAACACTCCAGTGTCTTCGGATTCATCCGTCGAATCCTCACTAGCATCCTCTTCATCGTCCAACTCTTCATTTTTGCCACTATTCATTTTGCTGAAGATATTTTTCACGAAACTCATTTTGATAATGCAATAGAACGACACGCTCTAGAACGTTAAAGCACTTTTATTTAGTGCGCTATTTGCAGGAGTAGAGGCACGCGGTATTTGTTCGTTTTATTTTTGGATTCGGTTTTTGGTCTCTATTTATTTTTGTTCGAATTTGATGTAAGGAATGGAGATGGGAATATGATTTTTTCTGGTTGGCAGAACATTCAAAGTAATAATAGATTAAAATATTCAAACGCTAAAATTTTGCTATTGTAATGATTGATTTGGCTTCTCAGCAGGATTGACTTTATGTTGTTTTGTTTGGCACTTTTGATGCTACAAAACGTATTTTTAAAAACATCCAAGTATTTTGTTTTGCTCTAAAAATTTATAATGGTAATTCCGCATTTCGATTTAATGCTCATTTTGAGATCAACCAACTGTGTAGGTATTTTTATTTATTGTCTTTGTGTCTCTGAGGTCTGACGTATTTTTGGTTTATTTTGGTGATATTCAGGAACTTGAAACAGGGGAAAATCCCGATCATGTGCATTCAGGATTATTGTTGATCCAGAAAAACAGGTGCTTGGCTCGCAGTTCAAAATTGCTGAAAATTGGTTTCAGTGAACTTTAATTTATTCTATTTAGGTGCAAATTATGGATCTTGGCAAATGTATCCTGCTGGTAAAATTAAAAATTGGATAAATTTGCCAAAGACCTTACGAATCTTACTTATTGTTGTAAGTTCATTGTATTTTTCCTTCCTAATAAAACTAAAATAGATTGAGCAATATTTCTTCCTATGCTGATAAATTATAATTTCAAAAATTCCCAAATTACCCTTTTTTCATTATAATAGTTACATAGGTATACCTACAATGTGGAAGTATATTTTGTTAGCTCATCTATCTTTATAATACCTATCTAATTTTAGAAAATATATGACTGCTTAATAAACATTTCGAATTTCAATTTATATTTGTTAAAAAACCCAAAAATTAGGTATTTGAGTCAGTTACATAGGTAGGTACTTTACATTAACACGATTTTCATTAATTTGTGTTATAACATGCTTAGATTCTTCGGGTGGAATGAAAAATTGTGAATGATATGCGTTTCAAATGCACTTACTTGGAAGAAAAATTGATGATCATCGTCATTATTGTTAAAAACTATCAATTTTGTAATACTGTAATCATAGGCCAGCAGGCCAGTAATAAATAAAGAGGGTATAGCTGGAAAGTATTCCGAAGTTATTGATATTTTGGCATGTCGTTTTTGGATAGTCTGTGGAGTAGAATCTAAGTTTTCGATCTCGAGGACCCTGGAGAAGTCGAAAGACCTAAAAATTTTCGAACTTTTTCAGTTTTTTTCTCATAACTTCTAAACCATGCTTTTTTAGCGGAATACACCTTTTTGTAAAGTTGAAGAAAATAAAATTTTCTTCAAATTCAACTGGACAAAAGTATTTCTTAACGCAATAGTAACTGAGATACAGTACATTCATAGTCAAAGTTTTGTGTTTTCCAAAGTTATAGGGCAAAAGCCGCTATGCTTTCGATAATCTGAGAAATTACTTGAATTTTTGAACCACTATATCTCAGTTACTATTGGATTGAATACTTCTGGCCAGTGAAATTTGAAGTTCTTCAACTTTATTGAGAAGCTTTGAGCAAAAAACTGGAAAAGTCCGATAATTTCGAAGTTTTAGTTGCGGTTAATGCGGAAAATAAATCAGGTACATATATCGTCTATAGGTGCACGTGAAAAAGATGAGGATAAAATATTCATCCCATGCTTAGCTTGAATTGTGGTCGGCCGGAAGAAATTTTTGACAATTTTTCTGTATCTTTGAACCACTGTATCTCGGCTACTATTGAGTTAAATAATACGTTTGACTAGTGCAAGAAGGAAATTTAATGTTCTTCAACTTTATAACTAGGTGTATTCCGCTACAACGCATGGTTTAGAAAATATAAGCAAAAAACTGAAAAGTCCAAAAGTTTCGTGGGTTTTCGTCTCCCCTCAAGCTAGCGCAGGGTCCTCGAGGTAGAAAACTCAGATTTTACTCCACAGACTACCCACAAATGGCATACAAAAATATCATTAACTTCGGAATACTTTCCAGCAGAAAGTACTTGCCTGATGCTGGACTATCAAGACCACTTCAAATAATGAGTTTAGTTTACTGTGTATGACTTGATTGAAATCTCACAGGTAAGTACCTACTCCAAAAATAGCAACAAGGCAAACTTTTGATCTAGCAACAATGAAAACAAAGTTTCCAACAAAGTATCACATGGCAACCGCATTATTTATTAATCTGTCAAATTCTGATAAGCTTCAACAATTCGTGGACCAGCTCAAATGGAAAATAATAAATGGACAGTGATACACAGAAAACCAATTTTCAAAGGGCCGCCGGTTTTGTGCGCTTGGCCCTATCCGTCAGTGGCGCAGCTCGTTAAAAATGAACTAGAAAAATTCGCCAAGGAGCAGCAATTGGCTTTATCCAACGACAATGATGAAACCACGGTAAAAACAACAAAATAATTACATACTATTTCTATGAGTGTTTACTTTTTTCAGGCCTCAAATCAACCCGAACTTCCACAGTCCAACAGTGAAGCTTCACAGTCCAACACTGAAACTTCACAGTCAAATCCTCAACAAACCGAGACCAACTCTCAAGCTCAACCTCCTCAGCCCAAACCTCAACCTTCACAGTCCATCCACAAACTTTCCAACTCTCAACAAACCCAGTGCACCAATCCTCAACCTCCACAATCCAACCTTCTTTTTCCAGAGTCCAATCATTCACTTCCCCCGTCGACTTCGACGCACTTCTTCCATTTCCTGAGGCTGATGCAAATGTTTCCCGAAACCCATCCTGCTACTCTTCACACTGTACTGACAATGAGCAGGAATAAGTTTCTGGTTGCAATCGATAAACTTTTGTATGCTCAAAGGAGCAGGAATGATATGATGAGCAAGACAATTCGGCCTAATGTTAGTGTGATTAGAGAGAGACAAGCGAACTCGTTCAGGTAAGAAATTTTTCTCTACTATAAAGTACAGGGTCTTAATCACACTCTACTGCTGCTATGTCAAAAGACAAGTATGAATTTTAATTTCTATTGAGTGAGAAAAAATGAATAGGCCTCATTATTTTTGAGCTGGTTTAAATCAAAATAAGGGGGATCTAACGTTCAAGTTTTGACACATTAGAAAGTTCTCGTGCGTCAGACGCTACGCTAATACGGTACCGCTAACAATACGGTATTTCACATGATAATTTATAGTTCTCGGGCACGAAGACACATAAATCCTCTAATCCCTTATTCTGTTTACATTTTGACAGCTGAGTTGAGTAATCTAACTCAACTTTTTTGCTTGTTTTCTAACTTTTGTTTATTCTGAAGATTCCTCTGAGCTTGATTAATTTTCCCTTGGTGTTTTTTATGGAGGAATTATTAGAAGTTGCTGCATAAATGGAGCGTAAACCAGTTTATAGCATAGCGTTACGGTAAGACATCCGGTAAGTTCCGTTAGATAGCGGGCTCCGCTAACGCTAATACCGTAAGAACTGTCATACTTGTCAAATAGCGTTACGGTATTTTAAATTTGGACGGCACGAGAACTCTCTAATATAGAGTCGTGTGATAACAGATTACAACCTTATTTTGCAATATTTAAAAATAAATCTTTTTAGGATGTCTAGAAAAAACAATTCTAAAGGTTTATCTTAGAACAAAATTTTGATTTTTTTTAGTTGAAGTATTGACGGCAGAGTTCTTCAAATGTCGAAAAATGCGGTTTTTCAGACCGTGAATTCGTACACCTTCCACACAGGGAAAAAAATAAAAAAGTGGCCTTAGATAAACTTAGATTCATCCTCATCATCATTCTTAACAATATTGTGAACCAAGAAAAAAATTAATATTTTCAAAAATAAGCTTGTAAAACGTTATCAGCTGAACCTCTACAAGCGCAAATTTGATCACCGTCATGTGGCCTCTAACGGTAAAATACGCTTCGTTTGTATAAGCAGTAGATTATTTTCACATGGATTCAGGAAAAGCTTATGTTTAAAGAGTTTCTCGAAAATAATAGTTATTTATCATACAAGGGAAAAAAGTACTAGATTTTAGCGCGATGTGTGGTTTGTCTCCCGACGCAAAGCGGAGAGAGACAACACAGCGAGCGCTAAAATCTTACTTTTTTCCCATGTATAATACACTATTTTTTTCTGTGACGGGAAAATCTCAACATTTTCCATCTAAACATCATTCCCTTTGAGAAAAAAATTTGACTGGTACCTGTTACTTTTTTCCCTCGGGAAAAAAATTTGACTGGTACATACCTGTTACTTTTTTTCCGTGGGAAAAAAAAATCACTTTTTTCCCATGGGAGAAAAAGTGACATTTTTGCCCCTGTCAACAGGTACAAAAAGTCTATTTTTTTCCCGTCACAGAAAAAAATACTTGAAAAAAATACTTTTTTTTTCAATTATAAATCTTCATGCAAACTTATAATATTGAAGTTATATAGTCTGGCAAGTGATAAGTTGATAGAGACGAAAGGGGGAAGAAAAGTAGGGCGTAACCTAAGAATATTCACCGACACCTCAACTGACACCCCTTGATGACAGCCATGTCATTGGGTTCATTGTAACCGAAAACACCAAGAAAATGAACCAATAAAATTATTAGATTTTTTTTAAGTTTCGCCAATAACCACGCCACTGTGCTGTCGTTCAGGCTCTAACCAATAGAATCATGCCTCTGAATAATCACGCCTCTCCACATCTATCATTTCGCAATGTTGCCGGATTTTTTTCTATTCCAAAATACTACACATGCCCATATAGCAAATAAAAATATGTCACCAACTTGTTTATTACTGTTTCCGTCAAGTTTGGCAAAGCAGCAAATTCTATTGCAGTTCGCCGTTTGGCTAGCCAGACAATAGATATAAAATACTAAAAAAATTCCATCGTCAATTTTGATAGCTGTCAACGTCAAAAATATGACAAGCGGATACGATATGATGGCGATGATATTGTTATGGTCAACAAAGTGTCGAGCGACAAAAATTATACCCGATTGCGTCATCGCAAGGACCCCTCAATATTTAAACGGAAATTGGTTACCCGTGATATTTGGATTAAATTTAAATATGTTATTAGGTATGCCGTAAGCAACATTTTTTATCATGGGCGCAACCTTGTATGTAAGACAGGTGAGGCGGTATGAGCTGTCAAACATTGGAATCTTATATCCAAAAACAGGGTAACCATGGCAGATTCTGATAAAGCAAGAACCGACTCCTAATAAGTTGACCAAGGAAAATCGAAAAATGTCAACAATTTTGACATCTGTCAAAACCCTCCCAAACGGCAGCACTCATATTTTTCAGTTTTCAATATTTCATGATGAGTCATTTGACAGTTTTAACTTATGTAAATTCTGAGTTGAAAAATTGAAAAAAAAAAATTACAGAACTGTCAAAACCTGTCATATGCTTTAGTTAAAAAAAAATCCAATTTGGCTCTTTTTCGTTTGAAGGTAGTTTATGGTGATAAATTGAACAAAGCTCAAAGCATTTGACAGCTGTCAAAATCTGACATTAGCTTCAATGGAAAAACTCAACTCTAGTTCTGTTCCAATTATTTAAGTTATGCTTATTTATTATGAAGATTTTGACAGCTGTCAAAATTTGATGTCGATGAGTTTTTTTCAATACCACTGAACTACCTTAAAACAAAGAAGAACCAGATCTAAATTTTTTTTTTTTCCTACTAACATAAATGACAGGTTTTGACAGTTGTGTAATTTTTTTTCTTCAAATTTTTCAACTCGGAATTTACATAAGTTAAAACTGTCAAATAACACATCATAAAAAATTGAAACCTAAAAAATATGAGTGCTGCCGTTTGGCAGGGTTTTGACAGATCTCAAAATGGTTGACATTTTTCGATTTACCTTGATCGAATTCGTATGAATCGATACTTGCTTCATCAAAATCTGTCATAGCTACCCTGCTTTTGAATATTAGATTACAATATTTTGACAGCTGATACTGCCTGACCTGTCATATACAAGGTTGCGCCCATGGTAAAAAATGTTGCTTACGGCATCCCTAATAATATACCTATTTAAATTACATCCAAATATCACGGGTAACCAATTTCCGTTTAAATATTGCGGGGTCCTTTGACATGCGTCAAAAAATCACGTTTTTTGTGGTCAAATCGTCAATTTTTGACATATATCGATGTGAATTTTTTTTTAGGGTTTTTGGGGATCCGGGGATCGTTATACGTCATTTTTTTTTTCTTTAAACGGAAAATTGAAAAAAAAATCTTTTTTGATGTTGACAGCTGTCAAAAAGTTTTGGTAGCTCACGATATACATATATCCGTCATGTACCGGGGTGAGAGGCAAATATGTGTTAGATTTGACAGGTGACATCTGTCAATATCACCAAATTTTCGGGCGACAAAAATTCTATCCGAATGCGTCTTCGAAATTTGACACATGTCAAACAAGACGTTTGACCTTGCCAGGATGTCATTCTTTGACAATGTAATTTTTTTTTTGGGATTGAGGGGTCAAGGGGTACCTTTTCCGACCATCGTAATTTCTTTTTTCGAAAAATCGAAAAAATCTTTTTTGACGTTGACACCTATCCTATGGGTTGAAAATATGAAAAAATTAGCTTCAAATTGAGTTTTTATTTTTTTCCTGCAGATTTTTGATAAGGTTCCACATTCATCTTTTGACAGGTGATTAAATATTGCGGGGTCCTGTGACATGTGTTCAAAAATTACGTTTTTCGTTGTCAAATCATCAATTTTTGACATGTGAATTTTTTTTAGGGTTTTTGGGGTCCAGGGATCGTTATCCGCCATTTGTTTTTTTTTTAAACGGAGAATTGAAAAAAAAACCTGTTTTGACGTTGACAGCTGTCAAAAAATGTTGGTAGCTAACGGCATGTATCCGTCATGTATCGAGTTTGGTGGTCGTAACAGGTTTTCAAAAAAAAACAATCAAAGTGTTTTGATTAAGGAAACGTACTTGGCATTATTGTTTCTTTATTGAGCCTAGTACTCATAACTGCGAAATTCGCATTGCTTCGACAATTTGACGTTTGATACACGCATAAAACGTCAAATTGTCAACGCAATGTCAAAAAAATGCGAATTTCGCAGTTATGAGTAGGTACTAGGCTTTGGTCAGAATTTTTGACACGATATTTTGACAAATTTGACATGATATTTTATTGACATCAAAGTTCATTGACGAAGTTGAGAAAAAATATTGCTTAGACATACTCAGTCAGATTTGACAGGTGACATCTGTCAATATCACCAAAGATTCGGGCGACAAAATTTTTATCCGAATGCGTCCTTGAAATTTGACATATGTCAAAAAAGACGTTTGACCTTGTCAGGCTGTCATTTTTTGACATATGTCAATGTTAATTTTTTTTTGGGGTTTTTGGGGGTCGAGGGCTACGTTGCTCGACCATCGTATTTTTTTTTTTTTTTTCGAAAATCCGAAAAAAACTTTTTTGACGTTGACACTCATGGCCCTTATGGGTTGAAAATATGGAAAAGTTTCACAGTGAATTTTTATTTTTTTTCTGAAGATTTTCGATGGGGTTTCACATTCAACTTTTGATAGGTGAATAAATATTGTGGGGTCCTTTGACATGTGTCCAAAAATTACGTTTTTCGTTGTCAAATCATCAATTTTTGACATATATCGATGTGAAATTTTTTAGGGTTTTTGGGGTCCGGGGATCGTTATCCGCCATTTTTTTTTTTTTTAAAACGGAGAATTGGAAAAAAAATTGACGTAGACAGCTGTCAAAAAGTTTTGGTAGTTCGAGTCATGTATCGAGTTGGGTATGCTCGTAGCTTGTATGGTAAATCGGCGAGAAAGGCAAACCTGTTTCAGATTTGACAGGTGACATCTGTCAATATCATCAAAGTTTCGGGAGAAAAAAATTCTATCCGAATGCGTCTTCGAAATTTGACACA